ACATAACCAAATTATTGAAGGAAAAGCATGATGAATACTATGACAGAGAGATGAACATAGTGCTATGGAAACACTGGAAATAGCTACTTGCTGCATCTCAGGACTTGGAGGAGACTTTGTAGAAAATGTGACATTTTAAGCAGAGAAGGATATTTAAGGCATGGTCTGAAGGGAACCAGGCATGTCCTGGGAATAATAAGAGTGTCACAGTAGCTAGAGATGGAAAACATGGATAAAACAGGCTGGGGACACATGTGGGGCTAGAAGGCCAGGCTAGCAGTTTGCATGAGAGTTTCGGGCATCTGAGAGGCAGTAGGGATCCACATTACCCCACTGCTCTGCTCTGCTCTGCTCTGCTGCCAGAGCTGTCTTCTTAAAAATGCAAGTTTTATGATGCTAGCCTTTTTCTTGAAAGCCACAAAGTATAATGAATTATGGGCTTTGGTAGGGTTCAGGATATACTACCCCAAAATATGACACCTTGACATTTGAGAAAATAGCAGAAGTGGAAAAGTCTCTTTGACATTCTCTGGACGTTCTCCCCTGAAACATTCCATAAAAGAATTCTCTGACCTACATCTACAGTAGGTTGTAAGACCCTCATTCCAGAGGCATTCTCCTGAGGCCCAGAAGAAATGAATGAAGACACAGAAACATGTCAAAGAATCTGAACCAACTGGCCTTGCTAAATTCCCCTGTTTATTACATTGGGTCATACCTACTTGTCTTCCAGTGATACTTCTGCATGACTAACCATAAAAACACACAGATTTCCCTGTTTCCTTGGGTCTTCATCTCTGAAATTTCCTGTGTCTCATGCAACTTAACACTAGATAAATTCTTATGCTTTAAATCTGTCTTTTGTTAGAGTGATCTTGGCCATGAACCCACTCATAGGTGAGGAAAAGAATACTTTTTCTCCCCAACACTGATGAGGTCTCCAGATATACACCAACGTGGAAGTGCTATTAGGAAGCATTAATCCACATGGGTTATTGTGGCAGTCAGCCTCTAGCATGGCCTTAACTCCGTCTCCTGGTATCCATGATCTGACGCGGCTCCCTCTCACACTGTATGAGGATAAATGTGCGTGACCAATGCAGTACAGAAGTGATGGCATGGTATGTTATTTCCAAGGCTAGGTCATAAAACATTTTGTGGCTTCTGACTTGCTTTCTCACTGAATTATTTGCTCTGGGGGAAGCCAATCACCATGTTGTAAGGACACTCAAGCGGCCTGTGGATTGCTCTGAGTTACAAGAAAATGAGGCCTCTTACCAATAGCCATGTGGGGAAGCCATCTTGGAAGTGGATTCTCCAGCCCCAGTTAAGCATGAAGATGGTGGCAATCCTAGCTTGAATCACATAAAATCAGAGTTAAAAAAGACTAGAGGCTGGGCATGGTGGCTCATAAATCCCAGCACTTTGGGAGGCCGAGGTAGAAGGATTGCTTGAGGTCAAGAGTTTGAGACCAGCCTGGGCAACATAGGGAGACCCCCAACTCTAAAAAAACAAAACAAAACAAAAACAAAAACAAAAAAAAGGCTGGAGATTAAGTAGGGCAGACACTGATAATTGGGTCCAACATTTCCCATGAAACTTGAAGAGATTTGTGGAATCCTTTTCTACTTCTATTGATCAGAATTGGCACCTCTTTATTATGCTTGATACCAAGAAATGCAGTGTTTGGTCCAAGCTTGCATGTCTAGCTAATTAAAGTAAAATCCATTTTCTGACTGCAGGTCCAGGGCTCTTGCCAATAATGTGCTACCAACCGTACAAATGACTTACTTTTACCTCTTTAATTTAGATGATATACCCACCCACTTGCTGACAATCAGTCATTGAACTTGTTAGGAATTACTCATCTAGAAAGAAGATCGTATACTGTTTAAGAGAATGGGAGATAGTTGGAATGCTAATTGTGGTAGGCAGAATAACAGCTCCCAAAGACATCCAGGTCCTAATTCTGGGAACCTAAGAATGCTGCCTTATATGGTAACAGGGATTTTGTGGATGTAATTAACGATTTTGAGATGGGGAGATTGTCTTAGATTAGGTAAGTCCTACATGTCATCACAAATATCCTTATAAGAGGGAGGGAGAGGAATATTTGAGAAAGAAGAGAAGGGGATGTGATGAAAGAACAGGAAGAGGAAAGGGGATGTGATGCCAGGCCACGAGCCAGGGAATGAGGACTGCATCCCTCCTGGCACAGGTAAAGAAACAGATTTTCCTCCAGAGCCACCAGAAAGAGCTCTACTGGTTCTTTGATTTTAGCCCACTGTACCTGATTTTGGCAGTCTGGCCTCCAGAATTGTAACAGAAAAAGACTGTGTTATTTATTTATGCATTTATTTATTTTGAGATGGGGGTCTTACTTCGTTGCTTAGGCTGGAGTGCAGTGGTGCAGTTATGGCTTCGACCTCGACCTGCAGCCTCGACCTCCTGGGCTCAAGCAACCCTTTTGCCTCAGCTTCCCGAGTAGCTGGTACTACAGGTGTGCGCCACCACGTGAGGCTACTTTTTAATTTTTGTAGAGATGAGGTTTTCCTATGTTTCCCAGGCGAGTCTTGAACTCCCGGGCCAAAGCAAAAATGTGTGTCATCTTAAGCCACTTGTATATTATAATTTTTTACAGCTGCCATAGGAAACTAATTACACTAATCTTAGCTCCAACAGATCCTACTTCTGTTAGTTTGTGGAAGATAATCTTTCTAAGACTGTTTTCTCATGTATAAAATGGGAATAATAAAATGCCTATTTCATAGGGTTGTGGTGAGATTGAACAAGGCCACTCATATAAAATGTCCAACTTAGGACTTGGCATATAGAAAAGTTTTTGTTGGCTATGGATTTGGTCTAGACAAGAAGATTGCAACAAATTTTTCTTCTATTTGAAAACTCTGGTAGAGCGCTAAGTAGCTCTTGGAATATAGAAAGGATTGTATATTTATTAACTATTCTAGTTTTCTCTCAGGAATGCTGACATCTATTTGTTTCTTCCTTTTTAACTGTCCTTTCTCAAGAGTGTTGACTGCAAGATGAGGCAAAGGCAAATAGGTAGAATAACTGAAGAATAACCCAGAATGAGACAACAAAAGAGGATTTTGAAAGGATTTCCTTGCCTAGTATCTGCTTTCTGAGATGGCCACACAAAACAGGTGAAAAGTTATACTATTTATAAAGATCTCCTGAGAGGGAGTGTCTACAGCTTTTCTGGTAATTTCCCTTGGTACAAATAAAGGCTGCTCATTTTCAAAAAAAACTGCACTGTTGGCTACAATTCTTTTTTTTTTTTTAATAAAAAATTGGAACGGCATTATTTGGAAGCTGCTTGTTACCCAATGTTGCCAAAAAGATTATATTACAATGAAGTTATGTGTTAACTGGTCATGTTTCTAGTGCAGCATAGCTGTATAATTTTTTAAATTTTTCTTATCTTGGATTTCAAAATTCCCTATTTTTTAAAAGTGTATAGTAACAATATTTACCAGTATTGTTCATCCCTACCACTCAGTTTTCTGTATATGCTTGCATTTTCTATTTCCTGCTGATTTAGCCTCTGTACTCTGTTGTTTATAGGGACTTGTCATATTTGCATAGTTTAAGCGCTCTGTCATTTCTATCACAAGCTCTAGTGGGTAGGTACAACATCTATGTAGTTCGCTTGTGTAGTGCTTGGTGAAACACCTTGTGTTTCGTGATTGCTTTATGATGATAGAGATGATACTATAAAATAAAGCCAAAGTAAACTTTTAACAATAGGGTCCTCATTGGATGTCTCTCCACTTGTAGAGGAAAAATACTGGGGAATAACAATTGTGTCATCATGACAAACAACTGACATAGCTGAGGCCAGTTGAAGTCCCAGATCAACCTTGGTCTTGTAGTCACAGATGACTTGTGAAAATAAATGCATCTGGCTCATTGACTTGAGTTCTTGTACCCAAACTGGAAAGGTGTGGTACCTGACACAGGAATAAAGTCTGTCTGAAATCAGCTGTCCGGGATGTCATTTTCTCTAGTGCAGAGACTCGATTGCCTAAATTGGTAGCAGAGGCAGATGTTTCCTAACGTGATCCGCCTTGGCCAACAGTGATGGATATCTGAGGTAGAGCTTACCTCTACCTTTGGGGCTCACTGCTTCACTGGTGCCATATAATGGTGGCAGTTTAACAGTAATCTTAGTAGGTCTTTTTAGACATTTTAAAGCCACTGCTCCAAAGCATAAGCCAGGCAAAAAATTGATTTCCCTCATCCAGATGCCCCCATTGTTCAACATAGGGGAGACATTTTTTAAAAAGGCATCCCAGAAGGCGATTTTTGACCCCTCTCCAGATAAGAGGTTCAAGCCAGCTTTGTCTTATTGTGGGACATCAAAATTTGCTATATCACCTGAAATCCTCCTGGGTGATTTAATTCATTCATAGGTTCTAGGAGAGAAGATGAAACTTTCATTTATCCCCATGCTACACACTGACCAATACTGTGAATAACTGCTTCACCAAACTTTTGTCAATTTTGTTGCATTTTTTTCTGTTTACACGAGATCCATAGTGCTTTCTCATTCCCACAGTAAACACTGAATCCTGTTTATAACAGAAGGGCAGGATCTGTGGGGAGCATCCGCAAAGCGCTCCAGGCTCCTTTTTTCCTTTTCTCAGAGACACCAGGAATGTGCCTTTGCACTGTTTTGCCAGCATCCTTAAATCATGATTAATTTAAAGCCCTTTCTCTCCTTGGTGAGGCCTGACACAAGCAACTGCTTTTCTGTCACATTGATTTTTCTGTCCTTGCAGATTCAGAGCCAGGGTTGAGTCCTCCTTACAGGGCGAGTTCTCTGACAAGGAAGTTTTGCAACCTAATTTACAGCTGGAGCCAAGCTTGTCAGTGAGTGCCAGAGGGAAACTGTCGCAATCGGCTGGCTAAGTATGCATTTAATAGTGTTTATCCAAGCGAGTTTGTGATTTCTTCACTCTCTCCAACAAATATGTTATTTGTAATAGCTATCTTCTCTCATCTAGGTGTTTGAAAAATGTCTCTAACGTGTGTGGGTTGGAATGCATTTTGTTTTTTCTGTAGGTATATTCATTTAACAAGGGAAGTCTCAGAGGAGCTATCAAAAACTGCTTGCCATCTTTCCAAATCATCTCTGTCTGCAGTGGCCATGTCTTAATCCTGAAGGACAACAAGGTAACCTTTTCAAATAAACATTTTCAAGGATGTTTAGAGGGAACCCAACTGCTGGCATGTAGAACCCCCCTCCAGTGCTTAAAAATAGATATATTGAGGGAGTACAACTCCACTGAGTTGGAGTACTTGTAAGCATTTGATATGTTCAGATGAGTAACAATAATAAGCTAAATTGCAAGCAATGATCTGAATTTGTGTGTGTGTGAATATGAGTGTGTATGTGTCAAAGAGGCACTGTGTATCTTGTTTCTCAATGTTGTTGGTGGAAAATGAGGCACAGAGGGGTTACAGACTCCCAGTAGGTAAGCAAGTTGGTAAGGGACCTTGGCAATATTTGACCCTAAGCCCATCAGGTTTCACTGGGCTAACCTGACTCTGGGGAGAGTAAATATGAGATGAAGACACATTTGATCATTAAATAAAAAGGAAGCACTGAAACAAATGCAATTGGTTGTATAAAACTTATTAATGCGATACTCCTGGTCTCAAGGAAGTTGACATGCAATAGAAAAAGAACATGTAGAGTATGGATTGAATAAACCAAAAATTATGTAGATGATGTAATTACTGTAATTAAATCAAAACAGATTGTGTATGCTGGAATTTATCTTATTACTCACAACATAATTTTGTATAATTTTTTAAAACTTGTCTCTTTTCCTTTCTGGTCTGTGGGTTTCTGAAGGACAAACCTCTTTTGTCATTTGATCCTGAAACCTCAGAACTTATGCTGGTCCTGGTACCAATGAGGACAGAAATGATTGAGCGCATGAATTTGGTATTGAGTTTGACATTATTGTCTCTCATTTTTTTGTGGGCCTGGGATGTTTTCTACCTAATTCATTTACGTTTGTTGTTTAAGGTGTTTGCATACTCAAAATATCTTTTTAACGTACTCTGCCTATACATAACATAAATACATTATTAACTTTGTTTAAAAAATCTTATCACAGTACCATCCAACAGGAATATAATGTGAGCCATGTGTAATTTAAAATTTACTAATAGCCATATTAAAAAAGGAAAAAGAAAATGAAGTTAATTTTTAATAATATATTTTATTTAGCTATATACAAAACATTATCATTTTAACATGCAAATATAAATTTATTAGTATGATCTCTTACATTCTTTTTTTCTAGTAAATTTTTAAAATCTAGTTGGTATTTTACATTTAATGAACATCTTAATTCAGCCTTCAAACTTAATTGTAGACCACTGCATTTCAGTGCTCAATGAGCACGTGGCCACCATATCAGCACATTTCAATAGTTCACAGGTCAACGTAGGGGACATTTTCCCCCCACTTAGCATTTGATCCTGTTATTATGCCCACTGAGTGCTGTAGTTTGGAGAAAACTCCATGCCTAGTAGCACACATGTAAACTGGGGTGACTAACATCCTAGTTTGCCTGAAATTGAGAAGTTTTCTGGGACAAAAGACTTGCAATGTTAAAACCAGGACAGTCCCGAGAAAAGCAGAATGGTTGGTATCCCACAAGTGAACTATGTTGGTCCAAACTATATGTCCCCTCCATCACTGTGATTTGTTCTGACCTAAAGTGTAGAAACCTGGCTGCCAGTTATGGGATTTTTGAGGGAGCCACTGGGAGGAAGAACCTTACTCTCTGCTGTGGTTATTGTCAGCTAACCTTTATGTCATGTGGGGAGAACCTGGCTGAAAGTATTACCTCCTTTGGAGGAAATCACAGTGAGAGGGAAATTGAGTTTCGGTGACTTATTTTTCAGTTCTTGGACCCAGTTGTGTCTGAACCTATCCTATTTTTGGACTTTTCAGTGAATTAATACGTTCTCTACACCTGTCTCCATATTGTTTGTTTAAACAGTTAAGGTTGCATTTCCATCATGTGAAATTGGGATAGTTCTAACTAATAGGTTTAGGAAAAAAAAGAGTACAAGAAATCTAGTTGGAATTCTTCAGGCTCATCAGAAACATAATCAGGTTGTCTATTTTATTTTAACACAGCCTCGTCGAGCTACTGTTGAGTATGTGTGTGTGTCCTCTCTTTTGCTGCCTAGGAACAGTAGGTATTTTTGTGAAGCAGGGGATGGAAGACAGTGAAATAGCTGCATGCTGGCAATAACCTATGAATCTGTGGGGATTTTGAAGAATAGGAAACAATGAAGACCTGCTGTCGTTCCTTTATTGTCACTTCCTCTGTTGCTCTCAGACTGTTGTGCTTTGCTTGTGTTGTGGGTGTTTTCCTCCGCCATGATGGCTCTCAGGATAGCTATAAGCTTCAGTCTAGGTCCTGGGGCACTCTACAGTTCATGAGATTCTCACCTATGGGTTAGGGACCCTTGGACTTTTGCAGAGCTGCGAAGTCAAGCACCATTTATTCTTTTTTAATCAGTGGATACTAAAAGTGTAATCTTTAGTATATAGAAAGATAGTAACAATTTTTGGTGATTTCAGAAGAAGACTGTGTAAGCATTTAATAGATAGATGCTACTGAGACACTAATATGTAGCTTGACATGGTTAAATGCCTTATGTGAAGCACACTTAACAAGTGTTAAAACATCACATTTAAACTTCACAACAATCTTAACAATCTTATTATTCTTATTGCTTTGAAATAAAAAAAGATTGGGCTGGGCATGACAGTTCATGTTTGTAACCCCAGTATTTTGGGAGGCTGAGGCAAGAGGATTGCTTGAACCTAGGGGATCAAGGTCAGTCTGGGAAACATGGAGAGACCTCATCTCTATGAAAAGTTAAAAATAAGAAAAAATAGCTAGGTGTGATAGCATGTGCCTGTAGTCCTAGCCACTTGGGAGGCTGTGGTGGGAGAATCACTTGAGCCCAGAAATTGAAGGCTATAATGAAGCCACTTGTACTCCAGCCCGAGTAACAGAGCGAGACCCTGCCTCAAAAGAAAAAAAAAAAAAATTGAATTATAACATTTTCTTTATTCATTGCTCATTTAACAATCTTCATTTTATACTATTATATTCTCAATGAATTTAACATCTAGTGGAGAAAATAGGTGTACAAACATGATTATAATACTGTGTGTGAGCATATTAACAAATACAGAGGGGAAGGGGAGGAAGGGTCTCCCATAGCAGATGTAGGTGCAGGGTACAGAGCATGGGATCACCAGAAAATTCCCTGGAAGCACGGTGCCTGAGCCAGACCTGATACATTAAAGCTTATCTGCACTATTGCAATAGTCTAGTACAAAATAACTTTTTCAGGAGAGAGTTTCATTATCTTACAATGACAAATTTTCATTTGTTTTTCTGCATCATGGTAACATAAGTGACAGGATTCTGATTTGTAAAGCAAAACAGTTGGATTCTTAACCCTAATGAGGCCCTTGGGCAAAATCTCTCAAACACTTGGGGCTAGACTTCCCTATCCAACAAGTAAGGTAGGATCGGCAATTCATTCATAACAGCATCTCTTCTGAGCTCCACACCCGGAAGGCTTCAAGTTGTGGCCTTCATTTCCACCTTTGTTGTCCTTCTAGTAAGAGTCATTGCCTGGAAACCGCAGTTCAGAAGCAAGGCATCACAGCTAGGTGTAAAAGGAGCTTAGCTTCCAAAGAAAAAGTTTCGACTCATTTAATTCTTACCAATATCATAAAATCACCCATGATAGTTTCAGGGTATCTTCACTCAAGTATAGCCTAGGACAGGCAGTGAAGATGTGGTAAATTATTTTAACGGCAGCAGAAAGACAGGGTTTCACTGAATGCCTTGATCAAAGCATGAATAGATTCATGGTTAAAAAGTAGTGAGTTTCATCAGATATTTAATAAATGTCCATTAAATGCCTTCCTTTCAGGCAGATAAAATTCTTTTATGCTTAAAGATGCAAAAAAATATAAAAAAATGACACACACACACACGCATAAAACAACTTTAGAGTCTATAGGATCTCATTCTGCACTTGGGCTCTGCTGCTTACTAACAGTATCTCACTGGAAGAATAACTAGCCTTAGTTTCCACATCTGCAAAATGGAGGTAATAATACTGCAAAATGATTATGGCTTTTTGATGATGTAGTTTGCATAAATGGCCTAGCCAAGTACCCGGCACCCATAGGTACTCCACAAATGCTATTCAGCATCCCTTCTTGGAAATCTCCATGATTAAATGATATCTTATACAGCTGTTTGCAGGCTTATCTCCTGTTAGACTCCAAGCTGCTTAAGAATAGCGACTATGGGCTTTTTCACATTGGGTTTCCTGCAGCCTTGCTCAGTGCTTTGTACCTAACAGATGCTAAGGCATATTGGACACATCAGTGTATTACTGTAAAAATACAAATGACCATAGGTCTGGAAAGAGCCAGGCTCAGCAGGGTATAAAGCAGGCCTGGGGATACAAAACCCAGGCTCTTTAAAACCTTTGCCTTAGCTCAGCAAGGTTCTCAAGGGTGGGGTAATTGCAGAGAGAAAATGGCAGGCTCCATGTGCAGGCTTATGTGATTTAGGGCCACAGACTGACCTCTTCCTAGGGTCACCCACAAGATGAATCAGAGAAAGAGAGAACAGAGATGGGGCCAGCTGCTCCCAGATCCTTAGACATTCTAAATAAGGGGGAGAGACTCAGTCTTTTCTGATTAATCTTTGATGATTTATTCTTTGGACATCATTTAAAAGGAGCATTTTAAAGTAAATTAATTGAACTCTCATGACCTTTTACCCTACTAATATCATCAAAAGAAACTAGATCTTGAATTTTAAAAAGTTCTTGATTTATTTTCTGTGACTTACAAACTACTGAAGAACATCAGTTTTTATTTTTTGAAATTATAAAAACTCCAGCTTTTAAAGCAATAAGTCAAAACAGCCTGGTTTTGAAACATATCAATTTTAGCCACTAAGTATTGAGTGAAAGGTGTCATAGACATTGGTAAAAGATAAATCTATAATTTAAGACACACAAAACTGAGTAAGTATTGTCTTCAAAACAGCCAATTCCCCTTCTCTCACACTGACCTAGATGGTATTCTTGAGTCCAAAATG